TGGTGTTTGTGGATTTCAGTGGCTTCCCTGTGCAGTCTAACATAATGATTGCTGGTGTTGTCCAGTACTTCTGTGTTTTGAAATAGTATTTCATGTCCAGCTTGTTTCAGGGCATGTTCAGCGACTGCTGATTTTTCCGGTTTTTTTAGTCTGCAGTGTCTCTCATGTTCTTTGATTCTGGTGTGGATGCTACATTTTGTGGTTCCAATATATACCTGGCCACAACTGCACAGTATCCGGTATACTTCTGCAGTGGTGAGGGGGTCCCTTTTGTTCTTTGCTGACCATAAAATTTGTTGTATTTTTGTGGTGGGCCTCAATACTGTTTGTAGGTTGTGTTTTTTTCAAAAGTTTCTTCATGTGGACCATAACCCCTTTGATGTATGGCAGAAATACATACTGAGCTTGTTGCAAAGTTTGACCTGTGAATGATAGCAAGAATAAAGGCTGTGGATCCCTGTTGCTCAAATCAAAGATGCATTTACTTCATGATTTCATGGTTCTCAACAGTGCACAGAACCAATTGTAGACATACAGAGTTAAACTCTTGCTTGTAATCAAAAACCCCTATCAGAGTGTTTGATCAATTAGTGCACGGGTTCCTTTCAGCTCTGCCTGCATCAGTTAAAACAGCTGATTAGCAGTGTTTGTTTTCCTTTCCAGGTAGTGCTTCAGGGATCCAGTGTATATACAATCAAAGTGGCCAACTTCTCTTTGGGAGAAAGATTGCCAGTGCTACGAGAGGTCAGCAAGCTCCATGACTCCTTGTTGTTTGTCACAGGAAATAAGGTAAGGGATGTGGACTCCTTAAACCTGACAGCACTTGGACTGAGATCTTTAAGGAAGAACTGGTGATATCTCTATTTCTTGAAGGGAGGTTTATTCCAGACATACTTTCTTTGCATCAGAACAAAATGTTGAAGGCGCAGTCTTTACAGTCAGTAATCTAATATCTTACACCCAGTGTAAATGTTCAGGAAAATATAGTGACAGAGGCGGCTTCTACGTGTTCAGAAGGCATAGGCATGGCAAGGGAGAAATCATATTTATTCAATGCTTCCATCATTTCTAAATGCAGAAAACTTCAGAGTAAAAGGCTACAACTGTGCTTCCCCAAGCAGAGAGTTGTTGAAGCGGAAAAGCATCAAACATGGTCTGTCGCTTGAGATCTGGGGAGGTACAGTCCTCCCAGTACTCTTTATTATTATGTGTTGTCAGGTGTTTCCAGCTAATGGAGACGCTGTGAATTAGTGCCCTCCAGAAAAGGTTATTAACAGGCCTGTTCAGGTCTTTTTTTTTTGCTTGTGCTTTCCATGTTTCCTTAGCATTGTTGTCCTTTTCGCTTAGTCTTTTCTTCACTGTGTATGCCCAACATACTACAGCTTGGGTTTACTCATTTAATTTCTATGGGGATTTGTTCAAAAATCAAGTTATATGTATTTCTGGTGATCCATAGTATCTGTAAAATACTCCTCAGGTGGCACATTTTGAATAAATCACTTTTTACCTGGCAGCTTTCTTCATTTTCCAGCGTTCACATCCATACAGTGGTGCCTCGCATTGCGAGCGCTTCATTTGACGACGAAATCGCTTTATGTCGATGTTTTTGCGATCGCAAAAACAATCGCAAAATGATGTTCCCTATGGGGGAATCTCGCATTGCGATGATCGGTCCTCTGTTTCGGTAACATTGAGATGATAGGTCCTCTGTTTCGGTAACTGATCATCGCAAAGCGATTATTTTCGCACAGCTGACCGGTGGTTTCAAAATGGCCGGCAGGTAAAAAAAATGGCACAGATTCCTTGCTGCACGGGCAGCAAAAATGGTCATGTTGTGGAGGATCTTTGCTGGACGGTGAGTTTGAAGCCCCTAGGAACGCATTAATCGGGTTTTAATGCATTTCTATGGGCTTTTTTAAATTGCATGATAACGTTTTTGTTCTACAGCGATTTTCGCGGAACGAATTAACGTCATCATGCAAGGCACCACTGTACATAGTAATTGGGTGTATGGACATGGATGGTCTTGGCTGTGGTCTCCGGCAACATGTTCTTACCCTTAATATTCTTTTGCAGTTCCTTCATAGCTACCCTTCCAAGTCTCAGCCATCTTCTGATTCTTCGGCCGCAGTTTCCATCTGGACTGATAATTGAAATTGAAATATTCCAAGTCTTTATTGTCAGTATTTAAGTTATGTAATTTGTCCATAGTCATTATTTTTGTCTTTTTACTGTTCAACTTCAACTCTCCTTGTGCACTTTTTTCCTTTATCAGTAGTTATATGTCATTGCTGTTTTCTACCAGTAATATGATGTCATCTGCATGTCTTAAATTATTTTTTCCCCACCAATTTTCAGGCCTCCTCCATATGATCTATTTTAGCTTTCCATGTGAAAAGTCCTGCATAGAGACTAAACCTACAGGGAAATAAAATACACCCTTGTTGGGACACTTTTGCCTATGGAAAACCATTTTGTTCCTCTATAATGTGTCCTAGCAGTAGCCACATATCCAGAGTTTGGTTATGACCCAGGATAATCACATGTTGAGACACTCCCATTTCGTTTAGAACAACCTTGATTTCATGATCCGTATAATCAAAGGCTTTGTTATAATCTCAAAGGTATAAACTGATTTCCTCCAGAAATTCTTTGACATGCTCCAGTAGCCATTATATATTTATAGTATGATCTCTGGTGCTTCTTTTTTTTCTTTCTTTTTCTCTGAATCCAGTTTGAACATCAGGAATTTCTTGTTCCATGTGCAGTAGAAATCTTTGCTGCAAAATTTTTAGTATCATTTTGCTGGTCCCATAGGTGCTTCAATCTGTGGCATCTCTTTTCTCTGGAACTAGAATGATTCCAGACTATGGACAGTTATTGTGTGTCCTTTATTTCTTGGCATGTTTTTGTTAGGGTTTTGATAGATTCCGTTTTTGTAGCTTGAGATAGCTGTCTTGGTATCAGTAGAACTCTGCTAGAACCATTTTTTAAATTGTTCCTTAACATGATCCTGTTTTGGAAAGGAGTACCATATTTCATGTGCTAGAAGACCATAGTTGTTTATCTGAGCTACCTTTCACTATATCCTCTCATTATCACGTGCTCAATGCTCCCAGTGTTAGGAATGTGTATTTCTTTCTTTCTTTCAGTCCTTTGAATCTGTTGATCTGTATGTAGTATGTGATCCTCTCTCCTACAGTATTGAATTTTACCAGGACTTTAGGTACTTCTGACATTGACTGTGCATCACTTCCCATTTCTGTTAATGTTCCTAAAATTTTTGGCCTGGAGCTTAGTGTTTCCATCAAATGCACCCTTGGATTTCAGGTAGATTTTAAGCACTTTTTTGTTGCCAGTTCATTTCTCCAGTCAATCTGCTTTTATTAGAAAAGGGAATTTTGAGCCAGATACCTGTTGAGCTGAGGTCAGGTGGCCGTGACAGCTCTGAATGATGACTAGAATATTATGAGTCCACTTGCTGCTTTGTCTTTCTACTGTTTTGACTAAAAGTACAGTCAAGAAGAGTGAGAGCTGAACAACTAAGGCCATCTTATTTATCAGCATATAACTATTTGGATAGATTTTATTTACAGTTTTACTTTTTCCCACTGTAGACTACTCTGTGAATGTGGTTGCAGGTTGTATACATACAGGTAAACAAACAGATATGTTGGCAAGCAAAAAGGGTTTCAGTTGCTTTGGCAACTGGCCTGATATTCTCTGTCTGTCCATCTTGCAGATGTTCCAGGTAAATCAAACTGGTCCAGGCTGTCGCCACTTTGTGACTTGCCTCCGCTGCTTGAAGGCAGAGCGTTTTATGAAATGTGGCTGGTGTGGAGATTCATGTACCCGTCAAGAAGAATGTGATGGAAGATGGAATCGGGACAGCTGCCCCCCTGTTCTCACGGATGTATGCAACTCTCTCCTGTATATCAGATTGGCTGTTAGGAAGCCAGCATAGTAATTTTCAGTGCAACTGTACTAAGAGCACCTCTTGGTGCTTTGAAGCTATTGTACTTTTATTTTTCTTGTTAAATAACTCTCTTAGTATTTTTTTCTGAAAGGTTTTCCATAAAGACTAAAGAACATTTGGCATTTTGGGACCAATTATACTTGTAAAACCTCAGTGTTACATTGTGTCTTCTTTTCCATAAGGTGTGCCTTCTTCTTTCTCTTATCTTCTTACATAATAGGTATTTCTAACCTGAGCCTTTAAGGTATTCCTCTTGTGGAGGAAAGTTGTTGAATCTGGGGGGTGGGGGAATCTTTGTTCTTAACATCTACACATTTAGTGCAACTTAAATCTATCTTTATGTTCATATATTTCTTGTCTTTTTGAATGGGTGAGTTTATCTCTCTTGTGTAAGTGGCGATCACTGAAGAGGTTTGAACAGTTTTACTTACTACAGACCTGGGGAACCTCATGTCCTGAGTTGAATCCAGCTGTCCTGGGATCTCAGTTGAGGGTTCTTCAAATGACCACACTCTCTTCCTCATGACACCAATATTTGTGATTTCCCAGGTTGTATGTTTGTGTGAATGTTTTTTCCTCTTCTGAAATGAAGTGTTTTCTCTGATGCTTAATTACTAACTGTAGGAACAGTTAACTTCTAGTGTTCAGTGGCTGTGGTTACACTGGCCATTTGAATCGATTTCTGTTCAGACTTTTAAAAAAATCAGATTCAAGTCTCAAGGTGGCCACGTTCCCTTTCACCACTGGGATCTGATAAGAAGTTTTCCTGAAAACCGTGGGAAGTCATTGCTCAAAACCCATTTGTTGCATAAAGCAACATTATGAGGGCAAATGCACGAGCAGGTGATACCTTTAATTGACCAATAAGAATATAAAACATTATGGAGGCAGTAATGCATCCCTTCTGTGGCCACTGACTTGTTTGTATCAGCAGCCATACTTTATATAAAGACGAACTAAGATTTAGAGAAGCAAATTGTACTAACCCTCATATAACTCACTCTATAATCACCAAGAGATAATAGGCCACGCCCTTTTTCCTTTAACAAGAGGCAGGAGAACATCTTGATTTTAAAAAGCAACCATGTTAGTCTGTGCTAGCATGCCTTAAAGAGTAACTGCTATATTTCAGTGTTAAGTTTTTGTCTATGAAAGCTCAAATTAAAATATAGCTCTTGGTCTTTGAGGGGCCACATTTTTGTCTTCTTGATTTTTTAAATTTCTGTTTTGTTTTTGTCTCACTTGATAAAAAAGTATGCCAACTATTCAAATTTCTACCCCACTTTTGCCTTGTACATTACAAAAATGTCTTAGAAAAAATGATTAAAGACTATTTAAGGAACATGAATAGAATTGTTTAGATGTTCTCTGCTTTGTAACACTTGTGTTCCATTTGTATGAGAGACAGTTGTGAAAGTACATGAGGGGGGGAATCCCAAATGTTTTGAGGTATACATTTATTAGGATCAACAAAAAATGCTAGAAAAGAGCCATGCAAGTTTATGGGCCTTAGAAGGGAGTTGCCCAACAGTACTGGCACAGCACTAGAGCTATATTGATTTTTAATTTCTGATAATCTGTGAAGCAAATTGGATGGCTTCAGGCAAATCACTTTCTGCCAGCCTGCTTCTGTGCCATTGTTTGTTGCTGTTTCAATCACAGCAGTCTTGATTTCACCCATCTTGAAAAACATGGGAAATCATCATCATTAGCTGGGATGTGGCCAGCAGATGTTGTCATCTTTTGTTAATATGAGCTGTATGCACCTTTATCTGTATCCAGCTAAACTTTGTTTCACTTCATTCTAATAAGAACTTCTATTCAATGGGTTGTGTTTTTTTTGTCTGTCCCTACAATGAACTACAACATCACCAATTTTTTTCCATACAACAGTCAGAAGGAGGTCCAAAAGAGAACTGGTCGAATAGAAATAGAATAGAAAGAAATCTGGTCGAATATCCCAGATGGGCGGGATATAAATCAAATAAATAAATAAAATAAATAAATAAAACTTCCCATTTCCCTCTCCATTCTCAGTAAACTTACCTGCTGTCTGGTTTCAGCAATTCTCTTTACTGGATATTTATTACATCAGCAATTGTCAGCTGAACCTAAAGGCTGATAAGTCTTGGTTACTGATTGGCTATCTAATGTTTTGTATATTTCCTGCTTTCACAGTTTCACCCCAGAAACGCACCATTAAATGGCAGCACTAAGATGACTCTCTGTGGCATGGGATTTCAGTCACGTCCATATTTTTCTGGCACTGATGTTCCAGATGCAAAACTGGGTGATTACTGGGTTACGGTGGGACGGAAGAACTGTGTGGTGGTATTTGAAGAGAGCCTGGAAAACAGGTAATGTTCAAACACACACACACACACACACACACACACACACACACACACACACACACACACACAGAGGCACACACAGGCACACACACACACACACACAGGCATACTGACTGAAATGTTGGGTGGCTGTTCCACCATTTGGGAACAATTTCTTTCAAAGAGTCACCAGAAACATGCTTGAGCATGTTCTGTCTCCTCTAGGAGATTCACATTACAGTGTTAAACTCAAGACTGACAAGAATAATTTATACATCGGGACAGTGGAGAAGTGGTATAGCCTTTGTCAGCTTTAGGGGCTCCCACAGTCCTTCTGGTTCATTATCTCCAAGAGGTGACTACCTTTTGGTATTGTCATCCAGTACTCACCGAGTTATGAATAATACACACTAGGAAGAGGCTAAAGAACTTATAAAGTCCTCACTGATAACAGCCTAGTGGGAGAAGCGTGGTCCTCCCTTTTTGTTTTCTTCACAATGTCCTGTCAGTAACAAATGTAAAGGCAGCACTGGCCTGATGCTTTTTTCTGCCTCTAGTGTCTTCATGTCAACAAAGTGGTAGCTGTAGAAAGATGTAGGGGACAGCTGTGTTGGTGTGTGGAAAATTTGGCAAACAGATTTTTCCCTTTTACTTTTAGAGCATTTGTGCCACTTAGCTTAAATGGCTTTTTACATATTGCTCGCAGCTTTCCAAGTACCATTAGACAGGAATTACAATATGAATAAATCATTGTTGTTTTCAAAATGTACTTATCTAGATCTCTCAGGATCAACATAAGGATACAAAAGAGTGTACAATATTGTGGCTAATGTGAAATCCATCATTTTCAGCATAATCCTGTGTTTCTAAGTAAAAAAACACAACAACAGCCTTTTCCAGCCTTCATAATTGCAGTTGTTTTAACAATTCGGGGGGGGGGGGGGGGGAGGGGTTCAGCAGTCAGGGTTAGTTCCCTTCATTTAGCAGAATTCTGCCTCTATCAAGTTTCTTTTCATTCCGGTGGATTTTTCACTCCACTTTTCTAGACTCTTGCCAAAAAGGTAAACATCCACATTGGGGGGGGGGGGTCATCTACATGGGATCTATGTAATTATTCATTTTATGAAGCATCTGCATGTGATACAATTTGCACAAATGTGATCATTTTGATTCACCTAGTCTAGAATTTAGAGTATATGGGTCAAAATATGGAAGAACTGAATGCTTGAGGTACTGAGATGTTATCCTCAGCATTACACTGACATGTCGTAGCAGGATAAGATTTCAGTTCATTATGTTGAAATCAGGAGACATTCTGTGTGTCACAGTGTACACATTGGCAGCTTTCCCAGAGCGGAAATGAAGCAGCAACTTCTGCAGTCCCCTAAAAGGACAACATTGTTAAAGTTCCACCTCTTTGACCCCATGCCAGACAGATAGTCATCCTGTGAGTTTTGATCTATATTTTGGAGAGAGAGAGAGAGACCAAAACAAACAAACAAAAAAAGCCTTTTCTTTTGAATAAACAGCATGCATGGGAGAGAAAACCCGTCAGAAACAGTGAAACACTGTAAAAATTATATAGATAAAACTGTAAAAGTATATAGAGAAAAGAATAACAAGTTTTAAATCTGATGTGCATTGCTATAGTATGATGTGTTTTCCACATCTGACACTGAACCACCAATTTGTCTAAATGACTAGGGAAGAATGTACTGTTTTGTTTTGCTGCAGACGTAGATCTGTTGAATTATTGTAGATATGACCACAAAAGATCTACTGAAGGGGGTGCAGCTAGTCAAAAAATAGGTTGAGAGTACACAATGGGAAGAGAAATAGGAAGAGAAGGAAGAAGCAGATGGGAGAAAGACACTGAGAATGTAAACACACACAGAGAGAGATCGAGAGAGAGAGAGAGAGAGAGATCCAGACAGTTTCCATACTGGAGACCCTTGCAAGGTCTGGGTCAAACAAGGGTTACCACTACAGCCCCACTCAGATGGATAAGCCTTGTGCTCTTCAGTGAAGGAGGTGGAAGTGATGCTGTAATGACAGAAGCTTTCAGAAGCCACAGAATGGGGGAGTAAATGATTTAAAGCCAGAAAGCGGCAGTGATTTTCCAGGTTTAGATAATTCTCTACCATGTTCTATTGCTTCCAAAGGTTTCCTAGACTGAAGGGGATCCCTAAGGAACTCCAGAGCTTGGTGTAACAGGGTGGTGGTGGGGTGAATAGAGAAGTTTTAATGTCCTGAAACAATCACAACAAGACCCATGTGGTGTAACATATGCCAGCAGGAATCTGGCCAGTGCATTGATCTAGGGTTAAGTGATGTAAAAGTGAGCTATTTAGAAAATAAAATCTCTTGAAGCTGAAGAGCCATTAGATTGTTTGGCAGACCATAACCAGGTCTTTTTTGTCATTTCAGGTACAGCCAGGTGCCACACTGGAAGGATTTTGTTGAAGTTCTTGTATGCATTTTGACACCAAATGAAGAAGCAAAGTTGTTGGAGCCACAAGAAGTTAAGCTCACCATTATAGAGAAGGAAGGGACCCCATTTTATATCAATGGCTCTTCAATCCTCAAAGGCTTTGAATATATGGTGGGTTTAATTTTTTAAAAACTGGAGCTACTACTTTCATCCTTATCACCTTCCTCACTGATGTAATGAGAGCCTACCTGAGAGATCTGCTGATGGGGAGGGGGATCTGCTCTTTGGCAGATGTGTAGAGCAGGGGTGGGAAACCTGTGGCCCTCCTGATGTTGTTGGGTTATGACATACTCTGGCCAGAATCTAAAATAATCATCATCATTTTAGAACTGCAGAACTGGAAGGGACCCTGTGGATCGTCAAGTGCAGCCCCTGTCAAGGAGGCACAATGGGAAATTGAATTCCCAGTCTCTGTCTCTGCAGCCAGATGCCTAAACCACTGCTTACATATGCCAATATAAGTCCAGCATCATAAACCAGAGAGGAAAATTGCTGCTATGAGTTAAGAAGTCAACACTTATATTCCTCATCAATCAGTTGCCAAGCAACTTGGCATGCCATAAGGAATATATGCCATTCAACTAACAGCAATTGGGTGCTGTGATTTACAGAATTCAACTTATGCTGGCATAAGTAAGTAATAGGATTCTGGCCTCTAAAGACTAGAAATAATTTTGAGAATTGTAAATATAAAGTCCTTGAAACATGTTAGTATTTACCAGTCATTAGCCATTCCAGAAAGATACCTATTCAGAAAGATATCTCAGAGACTCAATTTCTTTGTTCAGTATGTTGCAACACGCACACACACGCACACACAGACACACACAGTACAGTTTATTCTGTGGATTTCTTCCATATTTTACATCAAACTGCCTTACATAACATAAATTCATTGCCATTTGAACATGTCTCAGTTTCACTGAGTTGAATGTTTTTTTTCACCATCGACAGCTGCCAAACATAACTTCTATCCATCCTCCATATGGTCCGAAGGCTGGAGGAACAGAAATCTTTATCCGAGGACAAAACCTTCTTGTGGGAGGTACAAGGAAAGTGACAGTTAATGGTATTGACTGTCCTTTGGTGACAAGAGAAAGGTAGGCCAAACATAGAACTGTAAGTGTAACTTTGTTTTCCCTGACTAGAGGATGGATTCAAGCTTTTTTGTAAAAGCTATTGCTATAATTCTGGGCAAAATCCTGTTGCCTAATTTAGTGCCATCATAACCTGGATTGAGCACTGGAAACATTTGATTTACACTAATTGAAAGATTCCTAACCCTCTATTTTAAATTCTGAGGTTCTCTAAGTCTCCCTTTTGCCCTGAGAAAGGCTTTAAACGTCAGAAATTGCTGCTGAATCAGTACTGGCAGGAACTGGACTGCCACCAGCAATCTGGCAATGAAGAGCCTCATGTTGCAGTGGTTAAACCGCTGTAGTACAGCCAAAACTGTGCTCACAACCCGGGGTTCAATCCCAGGTAGCCGGCTCAAGGTTGACCCAGCCTTCTATCCTTCCGAGGTCAGTAAAATGAGTGCCCAGCTCGCTGGGGGAGGGGGGCAATGTGTAGTCTGCATAATTAACTTGTAAGCCGCCCAGAGAGTGCTTGAAGCTCTATGGGGCTTTGCTTTTTGCTTTGACTGTTAAAGGCTCCCCTTACCCCCACATCCTGAGGCTCCAAAAAGGCTTACCCAGGGTGACAGGAAGACATAGGGAGCCTTGGAACCTAAAATTAAGGGGCATGGATCTATTGATTAATGTAAATTAAATATTTCCACTGCCTAATCAGGGTTAGGCCAGTGCCCTTTGATTCAAGATACATATAGGTCAATTCATGTTTTCTGATTCTCATATTCTCTTTAGGAAAAAGAGGTGTTGCAGAGCTACATTCGCTCTGTTCAGAAGTGCACAAAGTCATTTTTAAGGGTCCAAAATATTCTTCCAGCCTCTGATGATGCAATGTACAACTTTTTCCTATGTTCTTCTGAGAAACTGTATTTCTCATACTTTCCAAATGAGTCACAAATGAAAACAAGAGAGATGGTTGGTAGAGATGGGAAATGATCATTCATACTTTCTGTCATTTATCACACTTTACTCTGAAGGCTTCTGCACCCAGGAGGCGGTCTTATTCTAAGCAGAGCCACCTGGGAAGCTCACAACAGAAACCTCTGTATGAGCTCGTGTCTGTACTATATGGAAGGCATGGTTCAGCTTTAACACACTCGTTTTGCAGGTCATTTTAAAGTTGGTTGGTTTTTGTTTGTTTGTTTGTTTTCCTCCCAGCTAGTGGTAGAGCTACTACTCTGGGTGGGAAACAAATCACAATAACACAAAGTATACACCAGACACAATGAAAAATCCACATAAACAACAAGAGACATAATGTCTAAAAATAAAATAACAAAGAACAATAACCGATAACGCATTATAAGTATAAAAGTTATAAATATCAAGGACAAGTTACCAAGCCTACCAGGTTAGAATGAAACATTATTTCATGACTTTTTATATGTAGAAATGCTTTCTATCTGACATATAGTCAGATAGACAAAGATTGTATCTACACTAGACAGTTATAGCAGTTTGATCCCTCTTATAACTGCCATGTTTCCATCCTATTGAATCCTGGGATTTAGAGCTTGTTGGATGTTTAGCATTCTCTGCTAGAGAGCTCATGCACTATCCTGAACTATAGCAGATAATTCTAAGTCCTTCTCGAACTGTAGGTCCAGGCAGGGTTCTTCTATTGGATGGAACTATAACAGGCAAAATTCTGTCAAACACATATAGATACATGGATCATATCATCAACATATTCAGTTGACATAAGGGAGATGTCATCATTTCAATAGAAAGAGTGTATCTCCCAAACCCTATTAGCATTGCTCTCATCATGTCGTATGGCAGCAATCTTATGAGGATCAAATTCCTAACGGTGACTCTTTAAACTTCTCAGAATGAGAAATTACGTTGTATGGAACCTCCTCTGGCATGGTGACTATCTGTAAAGATAGTCATATTGATGTCCACTGTACGTGATTTCAGTGACACATAGGAACCCATATTTCAAAGGATTGGATCTCCTTTAAGGCTGATGAAGTGGGATACATGGCAGACAGCTGAGAAGAACCCTATCATGCTTTTTGTGTCCTTTTTTCCAGCCAGGGGGAAGAGGCCATCATTTGTACTACCCCTCCTGGAAGAAATCTCTCCAATGCTACTGTGACTGTAATAATAGATGGAGAGCAGTTTATTTCTCCGCAGCGCTTCTGGTATCGAGAAGATCCGCAGATACATAAAGTCTCCCCTAATTGCAGCTATCCGTGAGTCTGGCCTTTTAGCCACATCCTAATGTAGTAGAAATTTTCCATATCTGTCATATCTCATTGCAACCCCATGTTCTAGTTATGCTATAATGTCCACCATGGGCCATGTTATTCATTAAATGGCTTTTAAAGTTCTGTGTCATTAAGGCAGCAGTCAGATTCACATTTACCAGACGGAATGTGCTAGGGCTTATTACTTAATAAATATGCATAGGAGCACACTGTGTCCCATTTAACCAAATAAAGGCTAGATTTTCAAACAACGCAACCCACTTCTTGTTAAGTTGGGTTTAAAAAATCTCATTCATTCCAGTAGTTCTTACTTCCAGATAAGTATGTACTAAATAGCAACTTAAATCTGGTTAGTCACTTTCTGGCAGGCCTAGATGTTTGTAGCTTTAGAACTGAGAACTTTATGAACATTTATTTTACTGTTCATATCCAAATGCGTCACTAGTTTATACCTGCAGGATATTTTGCATCCTTCATTTATTTTTACTTGCTTGCTTGCTTTCTGTTCCAGGGGTTCAAATGTCTCCATTTATGGCACCAATCTGGATTCAGTATATAATACAAAGGTGCAATTTGAATCTGCCGGTGTGCAAACCAAAGCTACAGTGAGTATTCTTAGTGGAAAGATAAAGTTACTCATTTATGTTTTCTCACCAAGGCAGCACCCCTAAGCAAACGTATTAAAGAGTGGGTCTTACTGGACTTAATGGAATATTTTCTCACTAAACCTGCTGCTTGGCATAGCACTGCACAGATAAAATAGTATAGCCATCTGATACTTTTCCATACCATTGAAACACCTCAAATAAGATCTCAAATAAGAAAGATTTGCAGTGCTTTAAGGGATTTCTCCACCTTAAATTTTGGCACATATATCGGGGAACAGAATCTCAGAAATGTAGGGTAGCCAATTAGAAGACTTCTACCCACCTCCATCTTGTATGAATTTTGCCTAGAGAAGGACTAATGACATAGATGTTCTCTGTGGATCTAAGAAATCATAATGGGTTTTCTCTTCAGGAATTCTAATCCTACACACAATTAGAATTGCACAAAGGAGGTCAGGGATGAGTGCTTTATGTCCAACCCCTATCGTTCTCCCCACCACCCATTTCATCTTCCATTCCCCATTTCATCCTTACTGCACTCTGCTTGTGTGGTTTCCCTGTATAACTTAGAACTCTGGTTTTCCCAGGTTGACAGTTAAAAAATAATAATCATAGGGCTACTCCCTCTGTGGCTCACAAAGCCGAGGGGGACGTCATCCTGTTTTCATAGCAGGTTGGAAAAACTGTTTTCTTACTTCGAATCGTGCTTTGGAGTGGGAGAGTGCTGAGTTTGTGTGTACCCATCTGTTCACATGCATGCAGGTGTGCATACTTGAACACTCCGTATGACTTACTCCTTACAACAGTGGTCTCCAACTTTAGGCCTTCAGATGTTTTTAGACTACAACTCCCAGAAGCCTTCATCACCACTTCTGCCAGCCAGGATTTCTGGGAGCTGAAGTCCAAGAACATATGGAGGCCCAAGGTTGGAGACCACTGCCTTACAGTGAGGCATATTTCTAACCCTTGAATCATATTCTTGTAGTTCTTCCAATTTAGTTCTTTCAGCACTTGGGCATCTGAACTGAACTGACATTCCAACAGTTACTAGATCAAAGAAATCAAGCCAAATGAAGATATTGGCTTGATTGAAATGCCTTGAGTTTTAAAAGAATTATTATTATGCTTCTAGGTTTGTGAGAGGCCGGTATCTGCAGAAAGGCTTGTGTGTCAGAGTCCTTACTACCCATTCGAAAACAAAGCAGAGGTTGTGCGTGGAAACCTGAACATCTTAATGGATGGAGCTCTTGGGCACAAGGCATTTCGTATCCACTATTACCCAAAGCCAATAATTTTCCCCTTTGAGCAAGAAGACAAATTGTACAAACTCAAGCAAGAAAAGGATGAAATTGAGATCCATGTAAGTAATGGGGTGCCCTTCTCACACTTTCAGGCTGCATTGCAGCCCGAGAAGATGAAAGTTAATTCATACATTGTGAATCAGATACGATGCAGGCGTAACATAAGAGAAACGTAGGCTGCAGTTCTGTGTAAACATGCATCGGAACGGCAGGGTTTGCCATGGGGGTTACAGGATCATGGGGTTTTCTGAAGAAAGAGAAATCACTGCTCTCAGAAGCTACTCCTGCCAGAAGGCCTGTACAGTGGACCCTCGACTTACAGATGGCTCGACTTACAGACTTTTCGAGTTACAGACTTCTCTGGCTGCAAAATTTAGGTTCGACTTGCAGCCGGAGAATCGACCTACAGACCAGAAAAACAAAAAACAAAAACCAAAATGGAACAAAAATGGAACACAAACAGCCGGTTACGGGATTAATCGGTTTTCAATGCATTGTAGGTCAATGGAGACTCGACCTACAGACTTTTCGACCTGCAGCCACCGTTCCAATACGGATTAATTCTGTAAGTAGAGGGTCCACTGTAATACTGGAAGCATCTCCAAGGCTGTAGAGCAGACATATGTCCAGTGCATTCATATATTGATATTCATGTCATTTGCATCAGAAGCATTTAATAGCCTAAGAATTAACAGTGAGAAAGCAAGTAGTATCTACTGGAAGGGGGTCCCATTAAATGAAATGTTCAGCAGGGAAATGTCTTCCAAAAGCTTAGAGTGTTGTGTGGTGCTGGTGGGCGCTAAGGGGATGGATGGTTCATGGCAAGATATTTTGCCCATGTGAACTGAGAGCAGGATTATGTTGGGTGATGTAAACATTATTTTCCATTAGTGAAACAGTCTGCCTTTTTTTAAAATGTGTTTATACAGCACAGAGGGTTGTACGCTCTGGCGGGTTGCATGGTGATCTCTATGACAGTGGGTGACACAGATTGCCATCCCAGTGTGCTGGAGAAAGAGGTGACTTGCCGAATCCCCAAGCACCTAAGCATCCCTCCGTCTGGTGTGGTGGCAAAGGTACAGCAACAGGACTCTGCAACTAGCACTGACCTTGTGATGTGTTTTCCTTTCTACTGACTCCTCTGGACTGTTTGTCTCTTGGCAGTTTGCTGCCTACTACAGTCCGGACCCACCTGTCCTACCTGTTCTGCCTCCGTTTTGTCCTGTTCTCTTTCATCGTTAGTTTGGTTTTCTGCTGCTTGCAGCAGAATTCCTGGACTACCTGGCATGACAGAAACTTGCCTGTCCTTTTTACACAGAGAAGACATTCAGTTGTGCATGTTTGATGATGAGGGAAACAAACAGCTAGGGATGGGAGAGATGGCAACAAGAAAATTTTTTTAAGTCAGGTCATGTGGAGGTTTCATCCCACGTCATTTTGGAGTGAATTTAGTGAATACCCATGTAAAGTCTGACCTAGTCAGCCCCTTGTGACTTATTTCTGACCTATAATAAATGTTTTAAAATACCTGCTTACTCTTCCCAAAGCAAATAATTGAAATATACATTTTCATAGCAGAGCACTGGGCAATATTTCTGCCTTCTACCAGCACCGGTCAGACTCATTTATCATTAGCAAAGTGACATCTTAGTCTGGCATTCACCAGAAGTTCTTCATAGCCCTTTCCTGACTTCTGTGTATCAGAAAGACTCCTAGACATGTGGTGTGTGCGTTTGTGTGAAGATGGGGAGAAATAGGCAGAGAAAATCTCTCAGGAAGGGAGAGTCTTGCAACATGCATTTGGAGGTGGCTCATCGGTTCTAGCACTCTGGTGTTCCTCACTTATGTCACATGCCGAAAAAACAAATCCAGTGCCCATGCTCAAGTCATTTCACTACCCACATTCCAGATGGTACATTTTGTAAGAGTAGGCCCAGTTTGACTCACAATGTCCTCTTTGGCTCAGTCTCCACAAGCATGGTCTTTCCTGCTCTGGGAAACACCCTATAGGCCAGCTCTGGAATGCATGTGCATTCTTTGTTTTTAATCTGGCTTTCTAGTCTGATGTTTAAAGTGTTGTGTCGTGTGCTGTCTAATGACAAAAGGATATACTCATACCAGTGATGACGTATGACCAAGATGGGGGAGGTATCCTCCTGAAATTTTTGGGTGAGGTGTCCCTTCATCCACCAGCTGTGCTTTTCTCCCCAAGGATGAAAGAGACATCTCTTCTGCTATCACCTTGGGATTTCCCCCTGCCATCTCCCAAGGGTCAGGACAGTTTGTGGCCAATGTGTCTTTTGATAACCTTGAGAATATTCCTTCTCTGTCTATTTGGAAACCTGACCCTTTCCAATGTGTCTTATCCTTCTTTTAGATCTGTGTGAATGGAAACTGCACGGAGCTGGGCTTAGTGGTTCCAGCCTCTTCTTTCTCTCCTGTTGCTGTTATCTTGGGGATCCTTGTAGCCATTTTATTCATTGGCCTCTTGATATTTCTCCTGGTGAAATATGTGCAGCGAAAGAAGAAGACAGGTAATTGCAAGCTCCCTGTAACACTTTCCCAGTGGAGAAGGTCTTTTAGCAGCGGGGTGGTATCCTTCTGAGCTTCCAATGAGGAGCAAGTCCTTTGAGCTCAATGAGGGATTGTGCTGCTTTCACAAGCATTGCTGTTGTGTGAGCAGTAATCCCCATGAAGAAAGCCAACCCTCTCCTTGTGCAGTGGCAGTCCTTTCACAACTGGTATAATTCCATATGTAGTGTAATACCAGTGTAGCCAAGTAGATAAAGTATGGGACTGGGGCTTGGGATACTTGACCCTTGAAACTCACTATAGGGGTGGCACTGGTAAACCACCCCTAAAATACCTTAGAAATCCTACCAGGGTTGCCATCAGTCAGAAATGACTTGACAGCATGTAACACACATGATTGCGCATTACTGCAGTGATGAGACTCCATTTGGTAGTAGTTCAAAAGGATAAAAGCCATAGTGTTCATTCAGTTACATTACTTCACTATTTTGGTAGATCTGATTTGCTTCTGAGGCCTGATCAGATAATTGTCATGTAGCCGATCTGGATTAGCAACTGGGCTCATAAAGTGAATGTGGTAAGGATAAAGAGGCTGTAGGCAAAACTAATTCAGATGCGGAAGAGATGGCTGAGTACTATTGAATATTCTTCTTTTTGCTTCTGTAGGAACTGAAAACCTGGAAAGGCTTTCAAGCTTCAACAGGGGCATGACAAATATCCCTCTCCTGCCTTCCAACACTAGCTACATGGCTGATCCTGGTAAGGATGCATGAAGGGCACCTTAACAACCACTAACAGCTGAGATAGAAACCTATGAACCCAAGATCACAAATGTGCTACATATTGGCTTAATTTGGTGACTTCCTCAATATGGGCAGCATGCTTAGTCAGGTGATATTTTTTCTCTCTCTCTCTGCCATTAGCATTGGCAAATCAGGTTAGTACCAAGATTCCCATCACCACCTCCACACTTCAGTAGTCTTGTATAAATATATTTTAAAATGAAAAACGCTTATTTTTTTTTAAAAAACCCGCACCTTTTAAAAGTATGTTTTCATAGTTCTCTACAAGGGTTGGCAATTTCTGAGGATTGAGGGACCCCTGCACATAGAAGCTGCACACTCCCTAATAATAATAGTGTGCCGTCAAGTCAGTTCTGGCATATGGTGACCCTTTGGGGGGGGGTTCCAGGTAGGGAATACTGTACTCAGAAGTGGTTAATTTCCCCCTTCTTTTGGGGGGGAATTCTGGCACTGCACAGCTTCCCCAAGGCCACACAGGCTGGTTCTACTCCCTGGAATCCCAGTGGGGAATTGAACTCCCAGCCTTTGGCTCTACAGCCGGATACCTAAACCACTGAAGGATCCAGCCAGTAGTAGGTGCTCCCTACCATCCCTGAATTGGCTGCCACCGTGGAAAAGAAACCTCCAAGAACAATGATTCAGGTTATAAATAATTTAGTTTAAAACAAGAAATGTGATTTAAACTGGAAACTGGTGTGTGTGTATATATGACTTGATCTAAAGGTGAAATTCCCCCCCTTTTTCTGTTGTTACCATGGAGCAAATTCAGTTGCTGTAGGGATGGAAGAAGCACAAAGATCCCCGGGGGGGGGGGGCGGTCCCATGCAGCTTGACTGTTGCCCATCTCTGTCATTTTGTTCTCATTCTCTTGGTGATTTTGACTGGGAGAAACATAGGTATGCAGAAAAGACCATTTAAATGTGCATATTGAAAAGACCTGGTCATAGGAGATACTGGCATCCCTCCGACTATAATGTCCTCTTTGCCATTCCACTGGTATTCATTGTCTGAACAGGATCTCCAAACCATGGCTTATCGGAGGTGCGTTTTGGAAGTGTCTCTTACACAGGGAGCAGCGATGGCTCTCTTATGCCCTTCATGCAAGTCACTTCTGCTTCCATTAAGAGTTTTCGGCCTGAGCTGTTGGAAGAGATGAAAGATGTTCTAATCCCAGAGGAGCACTTGGTTGTGCACAAGGATCAGATCATTGGTAAAGGTGAGCCAATTTGAGATTGAACTTTGCAGCTGCAGTATGCAAAGCTTTATTATCAAATATATTTTACAGCCTATATCCAAAGAGTATGTCTTTATTAGGTGTTTTCACAAGGGGTGTTAGGGCTTTTCCCCCCCTACAAAGTGTGTCTTTGGCTGTTTTCAATGTTCCATTGAGGTACTGACAAGATGAGACATTAGAAGCGTGGCTGCTACTAGAATGATCATTGGACTATGGACAACCACTTCGTTTGCATTCCAGATTTAGGAGACAACCATAACAAAAGAGGTCATTGGTTCAGTATTGTGTAAACTTCACTGAATCTGTTAGGAACTGCTTGTCATCCTAATTTGTAGAAGCTTATTATGTAAAAGGAGGCTGTTACCAAGCTCAAGTCAAAAGCTAACCTAGCCCAGGATCTTTCAACTTTTCCATGTGCACACACATTCCATCCATTCTGTGTTTTTCAATCAAATATTTTGAATTCCATGGTAGTAATATATTCAGTGAAACTGTCTGGAAAAGATTAAGAGTGCTGGAAACTTTTTTTTTTTTTTTTGCCTTCTAGAGCTAGGCAAGATGACTGGTGTTAATGGTTGCAACGATCTGTGACACAGTGAGGGTACTGTTAATCATTAATGGTTATGGATAGGGTAAAATTATGTCTAAGAGAATTTGGAGCTATAACGAGGTTACAGATAAACTGGCATACTTCAGAAATGATGTTTAATTATAATGAAGATGAAAAAGAGAGGATTATACAAATTTATATTAATATCAAAAAGTATATTAGATATGTACATATAATTATTGCAGTGAATCTAGAATGACTGAAAGAGGGAGAATTCAAAAAAAAAACTGAGGCAAGAAATTAAAAATCAGATGATTTAAAAAAGATTGGACTTCCATGGTTTGGTAGAATGTATACTATGTGCTGTCAAGTTGGAACCAGCTTATAGCAACCCTAATAGGGTTTTCAAGTTAAATGAGATATTAAAGGAGTGGTTTTACTAGTTCCACTTCCCCATTGAATTTCCATGGCTCAGCAGAGATTTGAACCCTGTTCTCCAGAGTCCTAGGCTGTCACTCTAGCCACAACAACACACTGGGAATCCAGTGGTAGAATAGCAGTATGTAAAATGAAGATTTTACCTGAGATAAATTTTCTATATATGATGTTACTGGTAGATAACTGAAGAAGAGTTGAAAGATTGGCAAAGTATGATGAATAGATTTTGTAATGGGGATTAAATACGTAGTAAGGTTCAAAATTTCAAAAGGTAGGAGAGTTGGGCCTTCCCAATTTAAGGTTATATTATATATAGCTAATCAAATAAGTCAGGATTGATATTGTACCATATCTCAGTCTAATAAATTAGTGTGGTTAGATATGGAATTTCAAGAATTTCATTAGAACCTAGAGAACATTCTTTTTATACAACGTAATAAGAATATTGTAAAAAATATTGAAAATTCTTTTCTTAAAAATATGTTTTCAATTTGGAACAAGCATAGAAAAGCATCTGTTCCCCCACTTTCCCCATTGTATCCAGTGGTAGAGTTGGAGAAATTCCCAAGAATTTTGAAATGAAATATGGAAAATTTATTAAGAAATAAATAAGTTCTTAGGATAAAAGACTGGTTAGAAAAAGTAGCGAATAGAGAGCAAATAAGAGTAGTATTAGGAATGGAAAGAATACTGTGGTTTAATCTTATCTAGCAGTGGATGACAGATTGGGTAAAGAAATGTTAAATGTAGGGAATTCATGAGATTTTAAGAAATGGTATTACAAAAGGAAAATATAGATGAAAATAAGGTAGTGAAAGGATAATAAATAAAACTTATAAACCTATATAAAATTTTATTGGAAGCAGAGGACCAACAATATTTTCTTAAAACATTATGTGAATGCTATTTGGGAGAAGAATTGAGTACCAAGGTTTGGAATAATTATTTGGAATGTCCATAAGGATAAAAGAAACGTTTTATAAGTCAGTCTGGGGATGGCATTTAATTCCAATGAAATTAAATCAAATATATACTAAATACAGTGGTGCCTCGACTTCCGAAGTTAATCCGTCCCAGATGTTCGTAAGTGGAAATGCTCGTAAATCGAAGTACCATTTCCCATTGAAATCCATGGGAATGGGATTAATCCATTCCAGCATTTTAAAAAAATACTATTTTTAAATAATGATGATGATGATGATGATGATGATGATGATGATGATGATGATGATGATGATGATGATGATGATGGGACTGCAAAAGTCCTCGCCGTTCTCTGCAGGCTGATGCTGCTGGTAGTGCCTCCAGCTCCGGAACTGGCACCAGCAGCTGCTTGCTGAGGCAGCCGCGTTCGTCCTCGGCGCTCCTTTCTGCCCTCTGTGGGCCGATGGCAGGAAATTCAAATGGCGGAGGGTGGTGAGAAGCGCCTGGCCAGGCTCAACCTCCCGGCTCTGGGCCACTCCCACCACCGCCGTCACATCCCTTTCCCTAGCCGTTGGGGCAAAAGAGCTACAGAGAAGCAACCTCTTCGCCAGGAACAGTTTGTATATTTGAATTTCCCACCCCCTTTCCCTGCCTTTTTCTATTTGTACGTCGAAGCTCCATTCGCAAGTCGAAGCAAAATTTTGTGGCCGGAGCTGTTCATTGGTCAAAATGTTCGTAGGTAGGGGTGTTTGTAATTTGAGGCACCACTGTATTTTAAATTGTTTTGGAGAGGATGTCAGAAAATAGGTATTTATTTTCATATGTGGTGAGAATGTGAGAATATATTGAAACATTGGCAGTTGGTCTTCAAGGAAATAAATGAAATACCTAAGTTGAATTTAGAAGTATGTCCTAAAAATAACACTTTTACTGTATCAATATTTGATAAGGAACAATTTAATTGGACAACTAAGGAATTAATTTCAGATTTACAGTATTAACAGCGGCAAGATTAATGATAGCTAGGAATGGAAAACAAAATACTGTATGATTTTCAAGTAAATGAATGGTATACAGAGGGTTTGGAATAAAGTTTTTAATGAAAAGTTGACATGTTAAAGTAAATGAGAATATTTTTATAGGTATTTGGGAAGAAATTATTTACTTTGTTTTAATAAAGGGGAAGACAGGCGCACCTTCTCTTGAGTCAGTGCAATCTTGGAAAAGGAAGGAGGTTCCTTAAAGGAAGGAAAACTGATTATATCTCCAGTGGTCCTGGAGGACATATTTTGTATAGATGTTTTTGTGGTTTTGTGTTATTAGTTTTTGTTTTCAGTTTATGTTGTAATAACAAACATATTCATCCACTCTAAATTTCTGTCTTAGGGTTATGGTCCCCATAAGAACTGCTCACTATTTCTCTCCTAGCAGTACCATTGTATGATATTGCTTTATTATTTCTTATTGCATCATGATATTGAGATGCATCCAGTTCTTCCTATTCTATTGTGTTTCAAAGCTACAACATATGAAAGAATGTGTTTTTGTGTTGTGCCTTTGAAACATAATAGAATAGCTGAGTTGCAGCAAAGAATCCTTAGCTGTTTTAAATTTAAACTCAAACTAGATTTTCAGATATCATTTTTTGCCACTTTTATATGAAGTGTGCACTTATATCACATTATTTCAAACCTATACTGCAGTTTAATCTTTTCTCAAAACTAATTTCTCATTGCAATAAGTCTAAAAATTTGATAATATTTTTTCTACTGACTATTAATTTTTGTAATATTTTCCAACCTTTGCTTGGCTTCTTATGCTGCCATATAAACCTAACAATAATTTCCTGCCAATCTTACAATACTGAAATAATTTTTTTATTATTACTGTATTTGTGATATCATTTTGCCTATCTAAAAGTCTGTTACTTTGATTTTTAATGCTGATGTTCTTCTTCTGCAAAATGATTTATAAGGTGTGAATTCACCAGAATCTTTTATATTGGCACTGACAACTGAATATAGTCTAAGGCTTGGGAGGGAGGACTAACACACACTAGCACTCACATCCAAAAGCTGTAGTAGGAGTGAACTGTGCCATGCATTCTTGTTTGCTTTCTGTAAAGATCCAGGACATACACCATGTGTCTTCTCTACACCTTATGCAAAGCCTTAGAGGCAAAAACACGTGATTACTGCTAGCGACTATAACTGCAATAGGAGGTCTGTAGTTCTTGAGGTTTTTTAAAAAAACTTGGTGAAGTAGATTTTGGGGGAGGGGATTACATAAAGGAATTTTTTGCTAAGTAAAAAAAAAAATTAACCCTTACCTGGAGTCAGTTGCAGTATGCTCCATAGACATATCACATGGGTTAGTTTTTCAGGGATGAGAATAAGATTGTTTATATTGCAAAGGTTACATCACATGGTACTGCAGATCATGTAATTTGACTGTGACTCTGGTTTATCATATTGTTCCAGAAGTGTTAAAGAATTTAAAAAAAATATTGGACTGGCTACTGCATGGTTTGTAAATTTAGCAGGCTAGTAGGTAAAGTTGACAGGATTTATTAACTTTGCAGAGGTATCTGTACAAGGCCTGGTGCTTCCAGATGAGCATCTCTCAGGTTGGACTGTATTCAGAATTTTTACCACCTTTTTGCTGCATTTCTTCTTGCCAATCTATTCCCTTGCAAAAGCACAAGGGAATAGATTACACTGTGCCTACTGATTTCTGTACTGGCTTGTTCATGTAACAGGGCTTGTTCATTCTTTTCCTATCCAGGGCATTTTGGGAGTGTTTATCATGGAACATACATAGATTCATCTCAGAGAGAAATGGGTTGTGCCGTTAAATCCCTGAACCGTGAGTAACTCTTATTTCTTTCTTAGTAGTGTTGACTTTATTTAATGGCCTGGAAAAGGAAGCCCAAGGGCTCATTGACCTTATCCGGCCACTCCAAGTGCAATGAAAACTAATGTAGCCCTATTAATGTTTAAAATATGAAGCACATGTCCAGTGTTTAAATGTACAGCTTTGATTAATGTTTTTAAGTGTTTGTGTTTTTTTCAAGTGAATCCACTGCTCTGCTTGCCAGTGATCACTCATGCTGGTGATGAACTAAAGCAGAGCAGTCTTAACCTCACCAACATTTAGTAGCCCCTTGAAAAGCCAGAAAGGTGCAAGTCGGAACACTTGTGGTCAGGCTGGCTCACTCCAGCAAAGACATTGTCTGGTTGCCATATTTAGGAGCGCACCAGCCCATCCTCTGCAGCGGTCCAAATAGCAGGCTAAACATTCATCTGACTGCATTCTTTGCCTGCTATTAAGTACTGCCAAAGCTTCCCTGGGGAGACGTGTTGGCATGTTGAAGTAAGAAGCCCTAGGTGGTGGGGTGGTGGAAATGGAGAGGTAGATATGTTGTTGGTTCTTAATTAACTTTTGTAAGACGTGGCTTAATGCCAGGTTCCCACTGAAGCCAGTCATCTTCCAGACTTTTATCAGTCTTAGAGGATATACATTTCTGTGGCACTCTAAGTTCCTTCTTGTAAACTGATTATCCCATGGGGCTTGGAAAACAGGGGTGCCCGTGTGTGGTCTTGATCCATATCTACTGAATTTTCTTACCCTGGCAACCTTTTCCTCCCTTATTCTTTGTCTTGACATCACATTTCAGCTTGGGAAGTACAGTGGTGCCTCGCACAACGATTGCTTCATACAACGATGAATTCACACAGCGATGGGTTAAAAATGAGCGAAAAGGGACATCAGAAAAGACTTCAAAAGCACTGAAGCCGGCTTCAGTGCTTTTGAAGCTCTTTCTGATGTCCCTTTTCGCTCATTTTTAACCCATCGCTGTGTGAATTCATCGTTGTATGAAGCAATCGTTGTGCGAGGCACCACTGTACTTCCCAAGCTGAAATGTGATGTCAAGACAAAGAATAAGGGAGGAAAAGGTTGCCAGGGTAAGAAAATTCAGTAGATATGGATCAAAACTACACACTGGCACCCGTTTTCCAAGGCCCATGGGATAATCAGTTTACAAGAAGGAACTTAAGAGTGCCACAGAAATATATATCCTCTAAGACTGATAAAAGTCTGGAAGATGACTGGCTTCAGTGGGAACCTGGCATTAAGCCACGTCTTACAAAAGTTAATTAAGAACCAACAGCATATCTACCTCTCCATTTCCCCCACCCCACCACCTAGGGCTTCTTACTTCAACATGCCAACAAGTCTAGAGGATATACATTTCTGTGGCACTCTAAGTTCCTTCTTGTAAACTGATTATCCCATGGGGCTTGGAAAACAGGGGTGCCCGTGTGTGGTCTTGATCCATATCTACTGAATTTTCTTACCCTGGCAACCTTTTCCTCCCTTATTCTTTGTGTTGACATCACATTTCAGCTTGGGAAGTATTGGAGTGTGATACCCCCAAATCCCCCCCCACCCCATGCATTAGGGTCAGCTTGCTGGTTTGTTCTTTGACTGTTTCTTCCAGAAGGAAAGGTTATCAGTGCTTGTGTGAATAACAGGAGCCTTCTACATAACGGGAAGCCACTTTTTAATACATTTATGGTTTCCTGAATCATGTAGGGTGTTAAACAGAGTGTGTTGAATTCTTTTCTTTTCTTTTTTTTTACCTTTATGCAGCCTCTCCTTTATTTTTCAGGTATCACCGACTTGGAGGAGGCAGAAGAATTTTTGAAAGAGGGAATTCTGATGAAGAGCTTTCATCATCCCCATGTTCTCTCTCTCCTCGGGATTACCCTGCCTAGAGAAGGGCTCCCCCTTGTGGTGCTACCGTACATGAAGCATGGAGATCTGCGGCATTTTATCCGTTCTGAGGAGCGGGTATGTACTATTTCTCAGATTGAGCTTCGTTCAGCAACCTGTCCCTTGTGGCCTTTGCTCTGGGAGATAATCCTCTCTTTGGTTCCCTGGCCCTGGGTTTAAATCTTGGGTTGGGAGTTGCTTGCATCTTTGCAGAGCAGAATAATTTTAAAGACGTTATGCTGGGCAAGAACTGGAGTTCAAAAGCATCTGGAGGCCCACAGGTTACCTGCCTTGGGATACATGGAAAATGTTGGAACCCCTTTCTTCCCCTTCCTTCCAATGACCGTCTGCTTTTTACTCTGATCTTACAGCCACCTGCCCCTTTGGCAATCTTCTGCTTGGCACGGCAGCCTTTTCTTTGCACACAGGCTTTGCCTGCATGCTCCCTCTGCAAGGTGTTTATGACCTGACAGTAGGCAGAGAGCACCGTGGTTGGTTTCTGGGAGCAGAGCACCAGAAAATGATGAAATCTATTCTGCAGCACTGAACTTGCTAACAAAAGCATTTTTTTTTTGCCTGGTTTCTGCCAAAGCATTTCGTATGTGGAAACTCTCTTGCTTGCAGCGGCCTTTCCTGCCGCAGCAGGGTGTGGGAGCTCCACAGAGCTGGGAGCAGACGTTGCTTTCTGTTTGTTTCGTTTTGCTGACTCGTGAGTCTTCCTGAGCAGTAGGAACGTGAGCTGGTGGCTGGTGCGTTTGCTGCCAGAGAGGCACAGGCCTTTATGAACAGCACTTGGTCCATCATCCATAGACTCTCCTTCATATTAGCGGCTGCTGTTTCAGGGATAGGACTTTTTTAAAAACAATCTTGCCTCTCTGGAAGAAAGAATGGGGCTCCAGCAACCCCACCCTGTGGCCCACACCCTCAGATAGTTCATCCAGTTCACTGTTATTGTGAAGACATTGCCCATATCTTGGGAACTCACTGAATGCATTTGTGACATATTAGTGAACAATAACAAAACCCCTCCACACACAACCTTCAGTTGTAATTAAGTGTGTTACTTATCATGCCAAGTTTTGAAATATTTACTACCTTTTTTGTGGCTTGGGCAAATGTAACCTTCCCCTCCCTCCACCATCCCCTTGCAGAGGAATGCACAGCTTTTGTTAAAGAAGTTACAAATAGCAGTAAAGCCCTTGCACATGCTCTGAATTGGTTGTGCGCAAGCACCATATTGTACTATTTTTGCTCTTAGGCTGCTTCTGTGGCAAATGTAAGGAAACATGATTGAGACACACTTTCAGTGGCTGAACAGAGATGCAATGAGAGCCTTTACCCACTAGGGGTCCACATAGATCCACATATACATATTATGAACTCTATAATGGAAGATTAGGCTAAAATAAGATTCTTGCACATATATTAGTGCCATGGTCAACATCACAGTCACTTTCATGTTCCTTATTCGGTTGTGATTGCCAATTTTTTCCACAGCCTGCAGCAGGAAAGACTCAATGGGCAGAATATTCCTATTGCATGTTCATATATATATATATAGATACGTATACTTGCTGTGTATGGGTTGTTGGGTATATGTGTGTTTATATCTTATTTTGTTCATATTCTGCTTCCCTCTCCCCCAGGGTTGGGATAGTAAACTGTTTGCAATATGATTAAAAAGCAGCTGTCACTGTAATACTGAAAACACAAACAGATCATCATATTAAAAACAATATATTTATTTTGATATGTGCAGAAAATGCTCAGTTTCCAATCCAAAAGTAAGATCTGAGTATAAAATTGTCTGAAGCAGCCCTGAAACAAACCGTTTCCCCACTGTGCCTTCCAGGAGAAGAGCCAGGCTTCGTGGTCGTGGACAAGCTGCTCAGTCACAAAACGGCCCAAGAAGAAGGGAGTGGAAAACCACTTCTGAGTTAATCTATATATAGAAAACTCTGGAAAGAGTCTTTATAAAGCAGAATCGACTTGATGGAACCTAATTATTTTATACATTGCCTTCAGGCAGCTGCAAGCAAATAGCCCATCCTTCCCGAAGGGCATAAATTCCTGCGCCAGCTGGGAAAGTTCAATTTACATTCCCTGAATGTCAGACAGGCTCTTTTTCTTCTTCTTCTTCTGTCCCCAGAACCCTACTGTGAAAGATTTAATAGGCTTTGGGCTTCAAGTGGCTCAAGGGATGGAATATTTGGCCCAGAAGAAATTTGTACACAGAGATCTTGCTGCTAGGAATTGTATGTAAGTAACAAAGTTTGTTTGTGTTTGTGTGCGTGTGTGTTCTGTGCACACAAATCCCTGCAATGTGAAGAGGAGTTGGTTCAGAATGAGGCAAACATACGTAGAGCTCTATATGCGTGGCTGGATTTTTGGCTCCCTTGACTCATCTGTCAGACTGCTTCTTTTAGAGATTTTCTTCTTCACTGTTTTAGCTGGAACATTCCTTTGTCACCAACATCTGGTATTTCCTACCTACAGCTTCTCCCTCTTCCACTTAGTTTTAACCTATGCTATATTAGCAAGTTAAATATCACACACAAGGCCCTGTTGTTCTTGTTATGTGCTGCCAAGTTACCTCCAACCTATGGTGACCCTATGAATGAGAGATCATGTCCTCAATAGCCTTTGCTCACCTCTTGCGAACTCAAGGCTGTACTTGCCTTTATGAAATCAGTCCCTCTCATATTTAGTCTTTCTCTTCCTGATGTCCTACTGCCAGGTCCAACTAAAGACGACATTAAACATGTAGTATGTATTTGAAGATCACATTTTTAAAGTAGGTATATGCAGTCATTGCTTTTTAACTAACCCCCCCATCCCCAAAAATTGCACAAAAAACAGAATGAAAAACAGGAGGGGAGTTTTCTTTTCCCCCTCTTTTTTAAAGTCCCTGCACACATGGAGCTGGTGGTGTGGATTTTAAAGAAAAGAACAATAAAGATATTTTTAAACCTCCTGTATGGTTTACATTTTGTGAGCTTTTGTCTGCTGAAGAATGGCTTTAAAATGGAAAAATGTTCAGAAATATAGTACATAGTTCAAAGTAGTGTGTCGTTTGATCTGGTGGCAGGACAGGAGGAAAAGGAAATGAACTTGGCTGAAAAAGCAGACAGAATTTTCTGTAGCATACCTGAATTTGCCCTAGCTGTAGAAAATGTTGTAATATAGGGCATCTGGTTCAAAATAAAAACAATTTTTAAAAGCCTACCTAAATATCTGTAGTGGTCACCTATTTCATATGGAGCTAAGCATCCATCTCTTGCTCACACCAAAAGCTTATATGGGAAGCCTCTAAATACCTGTAGACATTGCTACAGGTATTTAGAGGAGTTTGCTACAGAAGAGTAGCAAACACAGCTATGGGACTAGTGGCCCCTAAAGCACTTAGTCCCTGGTATCTGGGGCTGCAGTGAGGTTCGCTTGGTCTCTCATGGTCACATGATTTTTCTTAATGGGTCTTTTTGACAAAACTGAGATGTTGCTGATGGTCAGATGACTAGCCTTGATATTTGGCAAGGAGCCAATTTAGTTTGCTTGGGGATTGGATGCTCCAAGTGGCCACAGCCTTGGAATTCTACCCAAGACCATCTGAAGATGAAAACAACTGTCTTGAACAAGCGGCTTACTCTGAGAAGATTTAAAAAGAACCAAAAAGAAAAGAAAGAAACACAGGTGACTGCTTAAGAGATTCAGGCCCCGAGACATATTTAGGCTTGAAAGGAACAATTTATGCATACCAACTCAGCTCCCCAATACGCGCCCTTCCCCACTTTTCCATTATAGGTGCATACTTTGTGTGGCTGCTGTATTTCTTGTAACACTTGTAATTCCTTGTATTACATCTTTGTGTTCCTCAGGCTAGATGAGACCTACACTGTGAAAGTGGCAGACTTTGGGCTAGCCAGAGACGTCTTCGACAAGGAGTATTACAGCATCAGACAACACCGCAGAGCAAAGCTGCCTGTCAAATGGATGGCTCTTGAGAGCCTTCAGACCCAGAAATTTACTACAAAGTCTGACGTAGTAAGTGCAGGCAAAAGCAATGGGGAGTCTCTTCTTCTCACTGTTTCCTCTCCTTGTTGTTGTTGAGCGTCAGCTCCCATGTTATATCTCTGTTGCCCGTTTTGGCTGGGGCTGGTGAGTGTTTTATTCTAAGAACATCTGGAGAGCCACAGGTTTTCAACCTCTGCTCTGTTGCATGAGGTATGAGGGAGGGGGAAAGAAGTGTTAAGGGAACACCTGGTAAGTTTTCTTAAACTTTTTAGCATGACTTGTTTCCCAACCAAGGGCATGAGAATCTAGATGAATTCTGTCTTCTACCTGCACTAGCCTTAGAAAACATTGTAATGTAGGACATCTGGTTCAAAACAGAGACAACAAAAACAAGTCCAGCCGCTATTGTAACCATTTGGGTTTGATGGATCCTACAACAGTAAACTGCAGTTTAGACCAGAGGTCTGGTAATTACATCCATGCCCCCTCCAGGCACTCAACAGGATACATCAGATCTAGATGATCTCCCTGGGCATTCTGTTGTATGTGTTCTCCATCTCTGTGTTCTGCCTTTCTTCCTAGTGGTCATTTGGGGTCCTCATGTGGGAGCTGATGACACGAGGGGCTTCTCCATACCCTGAAGTAGATCCATATGACATCACTCACTACTTGTTGCAAGGCCGACGGTTGCCCCAGCCTGAATACTGTCCAGATTCTCTGTGAGTATATGTAAATAAATAAACTGTTGGCTGAAAGGGTTCTGAATTCTGTGCTAAATTATCCAAAAAGAAAACGGTGTTTGCTTATCAGAGCAATTTTAAACCTAGGGAATGCGAAGTTGGTGTATACTTGGAAAAGAATGATATGACAGATGGAAGGCCACGGATAAGATGAGAGATGTATTAGGTATGCATAGGGCAAGAACTGGTGTCCCTGGAAAACTCCCACAAATAATCTGTTTTCTGAACTTTGAATTAATATTAGCTTCTTTTTTCCTTACTGTTTACAATTGCAGGAAATTGTATAGAGAAATGACAAGGTCCTAAGAGCTGGCAAAGTTGAGTTGACCAAAATTCCTAGTGTGTCATGACGTTTGTGGGTGGCAGCAGTCAGTTGACAAGATCTACATAGTGTTCCTCTTTTGAGGGGGTCCAACTGCATGCTTTGTCTTTTAGCTGGCACTAATTAGGCTGGAGGATTTGATGAAATTGCTGACGACATGCTGGCTAGAGACAAACATGCTGTGAACTTTATGCAAATAATCCTTAAATCTTTTCATGAGATAACTGCAAAAATTCAGGAGCCGAAACAACCATCCACAGCACTGTGAGAAAAATTAGTTGAGTCCCTTGGCCTTTGGGATTCTTTTGAAAACTTGTCCTGTATAAAGTCAGATGTATTTTTGTCTGGAGATGTCATGACCACCCAACTATGGATGCCTTCTTACCTCCTTGCATTCACTGTTATGTTTTTTGATGTCACAGCTATTCAGCTACTTGCCAAATGTTGCAGGGTTATCACTTTCTTATAGAGCTGCATGCTGTGCTAAAATAGCCTCTCCACCACCACCCTTTCCCAGGACTTTTTGCATGCTTTCCAAACACTAATTTTAGCGGTGTCTCCGTGTGTGTGTGTGTGTGTGTGTGTGTGTGAGAGAGAGAGAGAGAGAGAGACAGACAGAGAGAGAGAGAGAGAGAGAAACTATAGGAACAGCAGGAAGGAACTGTCAAGTGTTACCTCTGTGTGTAAGTCAAGAAGTCAACTCTAGAGAGGCACTTGTATTAATTACTCTGGGACAGTACAGACGAAGATGCATGGTCGGGCACTGTCACAATACTGCAGCATTCTTAGGAAGTGAAGCTAGAGTTTTCAGATGGACATTCTAATATGGGCATGCTTCTTTTGGACAGGTACGTCATCATGCTGAATTGCTGGACCCCAAATCCTGAGGAGCGACCAACTTTTTCTGCCTTGATCCAGGAAGTAGAGCATATTGTGGCCTGCCTGAAGGGGGACCATTATATCAATCTCAATGTCACCTATGTTAACCTTGATCGAGGACAACCCTTCCCATCTTCAATCAGCTGTGAAGATGAATTGGACTCTAGTAGGCTTAGTGAGGAGGAGTGTGATGCAGTAGCCTAAGTGATGTGAGATTCTTCTCAGGAGGTGCCTTCTTTGAGTTGAACATAATGTACTGCAATCATGTGTTCCATGTCTTCCTGTGGATTCACTGCTCAGACTGAAGAGGCTGCACTTGACTCCTGTTCTGCTCAGATGGTGGAGCCACCCTTTGCATCTCACCCATGTTGTGTATTTAAAAAATCAGTGGCATGGATCCCCCCATGTTTATGAAGTCACAAGGAGTAGAAATTAGAGGGCTCAGAAGAAAGGCAAACATAAGCTCATCTATCCTGTATGAAGTGGGGCAGGTTCCCCATAAGCTCTACAAAAGAGACATATTTTGAATACTTGGGAGTTATGGCTGACCTGTGTTCTTTTAACCGCTATAAAATGATTAACATTTCAGCCTGCGGCTGAATCTATATATAAAAGAATAAACATATTAGGTTATTGTTGTTTAGCCGTTAAGTCGTGTCCAACTCTTCGTGACCCCATGGACCAGAGCACGCCAAGCCCTCCTGTCTTCATATTAGGTACATAATAGGTACTGTTCATATTAAGGACTATTTTGTTCTGTTGACCCTTTGGTGGCCCTGCCACTTGTGAGTATGCTGCAGAAGGGGGTCAACCCTTGAGAATGCAGTTTGGGTCTGTAGAATGTTGAGGGCCGTACCACTTGGGGGTGGAGAAGGGAAGACGTTATGACTTTCAGCACGTATCCTACCCTGGCTGGACTGCTGGGAGGGTTTCTTTCCTTTCTGTTTTAAGCATTGCTGTGGTTACTGCCTGTTGGCAGGAGAGATCTTTGCCAGAAAAATATAGGGAGGTGGTCAGAGACAGGAAGTAGCCATTGTAGGGAGCAGGGAGAGATATAACACGGGGATGACAGTTTGGTTATTATGCTAGTGGAGGGTGCACCATAGTCTTGAATAGTTCTTACCTGTCCCCCATTCTAGAGAGTCTGAGGATCCTTGATGATAGTTCCCCAGTGTTGAAGATACTACTGCTGGACATCAGGCTAGTGAATGGGGAAAGTGGAGCTATCCAGGATCCTGGAATATATTGTGGAAATCTGACTGAATGAGAGTTCCCAAGGGAAGATAGTTGTGCTCTATTATCCTTATACTGTCTGGCCAATATATTTTTATCCAAGGATACCTTGGGCAGCTGACTGGATAGTTCAGTGAGTTAGGTTTCTGGCTGCAGAGCCAGAGGATGGGAGTTCAAGTTTCCTCTGCGTCTCCCAGAAGAACCAGTCTGTTCTAAGGCACGGTGCACGGTTCCAGGATGTCCCCAGAAGAAGGAAATGGTAAACCACTTCTGAATAAGTCTCTACCTGGAAAACCCTGAAAAGGGTCACATTAAGTCAGAATTGACTTGACAGTACACTGTTGTTACTATACCTTTGGCATGTAAAGTGATCTGCAGTTGAAGGAGGTCTGTTTGGTTAGATACTGGCTTTGTCTTTTATTGTTTTTTAAATTTTGTTTTTAATTTATTTGTGTTTTTGTACCATTTTAAATCAAGACACTGTTTTTAGTAGATATTTTATTATTGTTAGTGACCTTGAATGCCTTTTTTTGACATTTAAATTTATTAAATAAACAAATAAAACCTTGTTAGTGACCTTGAATGCCTTTTTTTTTGATGGGAATTTTTTTTAAATTTAAATTTATTAAATAAACAAATAAAACAATCTCATTATGCTCGTAGTGTCGGATATTGCTCAGCAGAGCTGGAGGCACAAACACAGACCATGCAGAGTTAACCAAAAATGCCCTGTCATCAGTCTTAAGAACAAAGAAAAGCCATGCTGGATCGGACCAAAGGTGCATGTAGTTCAGCATTTTGTTTACATATTGACCAAACAATTACCAATTAGCCAAACATCAGTGCAGCTGAGCGCTCTCACTGGATCGGACCAAAGGTGCATTTTGTTTACATAATGACCGAACAATTACCAATTGGTATCCCACCAGCCAAACATCAGTGCAGCTGAGCGCTCTCTCTCTCATTTTCTTTCTCTCTCATGTTCTCCAGCAATTCATATACAGAAGCATGCTGTATCTGAGGTGGTATCTTGCCATCCTGACTAGCAGCCATTGATGGCCTTGTCCTCCATGAAATTATCCAGTCCCCTACAAAGCCATCCAACATTGGCAGCTGCCTTCACTATACAGTGGTGCCTCGCTAGACAGTTACCCCGCACGACAGTTTTTTCGCTAGACATTGGCTTTTTGCTATCGCTATAGCGATTCGCAAAACAATGATTCCTATGGGGAAATTTCGCTGGACAATGTTTGGTCCCTACTTCGCAAGCTGAATTTCACTAGAGGATGATTGTGACAGCTCCCTCTGCACTCGCAAAACAGGCGTTTTCGGGACCTAAGCTTCGCAAGACAGTGATTTAAACAGCTGATCGGCAGTTCGCAAAGTGGCTTTCCTATGACAAATCTTCGCTAGACAATGACGATTCTTCCCCATTGGAACGCATTAAACAGGTTTCAATGCATTCCAATGGGGAAATGCTTTTCATTAGACAATGATTTCACTAAACAGCTATTTCAGTGGAACAGATTATCATCGTCTAGGGAGGCACCACTGTATGTTCTGGCAGTAAATTCCACAGCTGAACTATTGGATGCATGAAGAAGTAGTTCTTTTATCTGTTTTGTCTTTTCTCTCCCATCATTCAGCTCCACTTATGACCTATAATTATGAAAGAGAAATGCTTCTCTTGTCCGCTTTCTCCATATCATACATAGTTTCATTTACCATTATCATGTCTCCCTTTGTCTGTTTTCTGCAAGGGCATACGTTCCTCATCATCAACCCAAAGCAAAAAGACTAAAGTCAGTTTCTTTGAATCCTTCCTCTTGATGTCATTCACTGAGTCAGCTCACAAAGTTAGGTATTATGAGACAGAGTCCATACCTGTCTGTCTGTCTGTCTGTCTGTCGCTATGAGACAAGAGTCCATACCTATTTGTCTGTCTGTCTAGCTGGACGTGTTGAATTCGCTTATCAATCTTATGAATAACAGAGGAGTTGTATTAACATGGTTCAAGCAATAAAATAAAACGATAATGAAAAATGCTATTAAAAAAAGTAAAGCATAGAATCCTAGAACAATGGAGCTGGAAGAGCTATCAAATCCAACCCCCTGCTCAATACAGAAATCCAAATCAAATTAGATCTGACAGACGGTTGTCTAATTTTCTCTTGAATACTTACAGAGTTACAGCAGTCACCACCTACCAAGGTAATTGGTTCCATTGTCATACTGCTCTAACAAGACATTTTCCTAATATTCAGCCTAAGACTGGCTTCCTTTAAATTGAGCCCTATTATTATTTGTCCTGCCATCTGGAATAATTGAGAACAGATCCTACCCCTCCTCTCTATGACAATCTTTCAAGTATTTGAAGAATGTGATCATATGTCCCCTCAGGCTTCCTTCCTCAAGGTTAAACATGCCCAGTTCTTGCAGTCTTTCATCACAGGGCTTGATTTCCATTCCTGTGGTCATTCTTGTTGTTCTCCTTAGGACTTGGTCCAGTTTGTTGGCATCCTTTTTAAAGTGTGGTGTCCAGAACTGGATACAGTACTCAAGATGAGTACTAACCTTTTATGGAGAAAGCCAGGTTAAAAGTATCCTAAATTAAATTAAATGAATAACCAGTGCTGAATAGAGGGAAATGAGTGCTTCTCTGGATTTGGAAAAGATAAGCCTGTCCACACTAGCATATAGATATATGATATCTAGATCACTGAGGGCACAGCGTGGCTTCAGAGAAAAGGCATCAATTCTTCGGCAGTCTGCTTTCTTTATGGTCCAGCTCTCACTTCCATACATCACGACAGGAAAAACCATAGCTTTGACTATACACTAGCATATAGATATATGATATCTAGTTCGCTGAGGGCACAGCGTGGCTTCAGAGAAAAGCCTTCACCCACTTGTGTTTATACAGTATACAGAACAAGCTAGCCTTCCCCTTTTAGGAGTTGTGGCACACCTATCTGGCCCAGAGGTAAGACAGCCTTTCGTTTGGCATGCTGAATGTATATACGTAGCAGTGCGGCTGCAGGTACAGATTCCAAGGGAGGGTTAAAATGGGGGGAGAATAAGGCGAGGGAAGCAAAGAGGTTCTCGCTCTCTTTCTCTCTCCTCTGTCTTGCTGCTGCCTTTTGCGAGGAACTGTGGAGTGGAAAGCAGAGCTCAGGAGGCGAAGAAGAGCAGCTCTCTCTCCCCCCCACCCCACACTTGCTTATGTAGCTCACTCAGACCACCAGCCACAAAAATACACACACGCCGAGCCTCTCTGACACTGCAGCCAACTTCCAGCCCTTCTCCGTAGGCTGGAAAGCAGGAGTAGGTTAGTGTGCTGGATTGATAGCTGATGGGGAGGGGGATGTTGATTGTTGTCAAAATGGGAGGAGCATGTCAAAAGGCACATCATTCCCCACCCCACCCCCAACGTCAACTGACTTCGTATCCTGATCAAACCACACACAAAACAGCCAGTCTGGACAGGCTCTATATTTCTGTTAATGCCGCCTTAAAACAGCAATTGTAGTTTTTGCAGCTAGATCACATTTTTAGTTCATATTCAGCTTATGATCTACAGTAATTCCAAGATCCAGACATGTAGTATTAGTGAGCCAAGTACCCCCATCTTGTAACTGTGTGTTTATTCCCCCCCAAGTGTTGAACTTTGCACATTGAGAAGCCTTCCCTGCACCCCTTTGTCCAAGTCATTAACAAAAAGGTTGAAGAGCACCCGGCCCAGGACTGACCCTTGGGGTAGGTACTGTACCCTGCTTGTTATCTTCTCCCAGTATGAGAAGGAGCCACGGATAAGCACTGAGAACAAATTATCCAATTAAAATGTCTTGGCAAATTGCTGAAATAATGACAGTCTTTGTGACATCCATATCGCCACTGAAAAAGCATTTCATGATCCAGGTGTCACAAACAGGCAGCCTTTCCCCACATTGACTCTTGGTCTAGCCAAAGTACTTCGGAAAGAACCTCCCCATTTTAACCAGGAGAGCCTGAATTGAAGAACCTCCAATCACCAAGAGGATTATATTATGGTTATTAAAAAAAAAAATCAGAAGTGATATGAAAAAAAAGGCAAAACCACATGAAGGAACATCAAGGCCTGCCTGGTCCAAAGTAGCCTCATTCATTTCCAGCGCCTGAATTGGACCCCCTCAGTACAACTTAGACCTTGATCTCCACAGCAGGAGCATACAGGCTCTTGTGTTCCTCTGATTTAATGTAGCATAATGCTTTTTTCCTTCTGTCTGAAAGAAGAGAGAGCCTTGGCTGTGCCACAAATCTAAGTGATGCATTTTTCAAAAGAGGTAACCGAGGAGCTCAAAGGAGCACCCTAGAGAGAGAACAGATGGATTTGGCCCCACAGCAGCTAAAACCTGTCTTTCTGCGTTATGC